AATATGGAATTACATTCTACCACCACAGTGCCTAAATTCTACACTTGGATCATCAACTTCGAAAAATTAGCCAGGAACTGTACTTCCTACCTAATACAGTTGTACAAACAGGTCTTGTTGGTGATGAATATTAAGTCACACGCACTGATATTAAAGGTGAAAATATATGTATGTCACTTTAGAATTTGTACTAGTTTCATTAAGTTTATGAACTTCACCGTGTGACTAGCAACTTTAAGGAAATCCCAACCAATGTAAGTCATGCGTACGTTTTTCTTTTACTTATGGTTGACCGATTCGTGTATCTGTAAGTCTTGTACGTTACTCAGAGGAGCACCTAAACAAGTTAACTGTACTGTGTCTGTAAATAAATCTGCACCACCACCGTGTCTGGTGGTTGGGGGACAACAAGCCGGGAGTTCCTACTCTGGGATTCATGTTTGTTGACACTCGTTACCGAGGTATAACTAAAACCTCGGAGAAAGGCATCCCGGTTATCTCACCCAGTACTGAATTTGAAGACGTTACCCCACTGAACCTCCCATAGAAGTATAATGGATACACTGATTGGTCTCAGAGACGGTACAGATGGAGGTGATTGAAGCCTGTCAGTTAAGTTTGCAATGTGGAGAGTAACACCAAACTGATACTTCAAACTGGTATTCCTCATAATAAAGGTGTTTTGTACTTCCCGATGAATGAATGAAAAACAAAATGATATTGCTGTCGTTTTTACTGATGTTTCGTTATTTAATGCTGATGGTAATAGCTCTCAAGTTTGTGTGGAAATCAACACTCAGCATAAAATATAAGATCCGAATTTTCAACTCCAATATAGAGGCAGTGTTACTTACTCTACGGATCAGAGACTTGGCGCCACGCCGCGTCACGAAGGGCACTTTGAATAGGCTACAGACCTTCATCAACATCTGTGTTCGCTCAAAATCAGATGGCCCACCAGAAAAGATAGACAGCACGGAGGCATTTCTGGCAATAAACGAACCAACCCAACATTAACCAGCTGTGCAACAAATATGCATGAAGAAATAGAGGTGGATTGGAGGCAATACTCTGAGAAAACAAACCATCAAATGACATAACTCGCCAGGCTACCGCTCGAGTGGAACCCGAGTAGGAAGCAGCGAGTTGATCGAACCATCAGATCCTTTCGGAATCAGGGCTTTTCAGATCCCCAAGGCAGAACTGTATATTCATCAGTCCAGTTGTAAGCACCAGACATTAGCACTCAACTTCCAACAAGCGCCACGCGAACACAGTAAATAGGAATTAGTATCAGAGGTTATGCAGGAACTTGCGGCTAAATGAAACGTGAGTCTACCGACTCTTTCGGTTATATATGGGAGCCATCTGTCTGTCTGGATTCTACATAGAACTTGGCATCGAAGTGCACCAGTTCGCGTTGCCACGTTCCAAATACCACACAGAGGTAGACAAGAAGATGAGTGAAGAGAATCAATAGAGTTTGACAAGTATAAGAGTGAAACAGAATGGGTAATGGTAGAAAGGAATATGAAAGATTACAGAGACTGAATACATCTGCGCCATTGACAACGATTTCGAGCCATGTCACCTATTGTCTCCAGCCATTGATTCGTAGAGTCAGTCCCGAGGGCCTCAACTCGGAAGTCTGCATCTGCCTACCTGACTCAGTTTAACTGTCAAGGATTTCATGGATTGATAGGGCCATGTTTTTGTTTGGCCATCACTTACTCTTTTCCAACCTGCACCTATATCAGCTAGCAATGCCCGTCGGGGGAGGCGGTGGTTAGACATGCGCACCACGTGACCTAGCCGTCTCAATCTATTTAACTTTATAGCCTCGTTGATTGATTTTCCCTCTTTGCCCAACACTCTATGCCTAACGTCAAAATTACTTACCTTAATAAACCACCTATCGTGAGACAGAGATCGCAGACATCTATGATCGAAAGCAGTCAACCTTTTCATGTCTTCAACTCGTATTGTCCATGTTTCAGAGCCATAGAGAAGGACGGAGCGAACTGGTGAGCAGTACACACGTCCCTTGGTTGATAGCCGGATGTCACGCCTACGCCAGATATGGTGTTAGTCAGCGAAAGCAGCTCGAGCATTTTGGATCCGTGCTAAAATTTCGTCGCCAATCAAATAAGTGAGTACATCTGTGCCATTTTCGACGAGATTAAGCCACATGTTAACAAAAGACTACAATTAATGATTCGTAGCATTCCGAAGACTCCACTTCAACAACAAAAACCCTCCCCTAACTTAATCCCTACACTTCAGCTAACATTATTCGTCTACAGAGAGATAACAACTCAGCCACGAGATTGTATAATACAATGTTTATCATCACATTCAAACTTAAATGATTGAATCAATCGATCAGTCAAGCGTCTTTAGATTCACTCTAACTCCATTGAAATGATGATCATCTCCTGAACTCAATCACACAAGGTGTACCAAAAGTCATATATCTCATAAACTCGTGTCTTTTTTTAAACAATGGATCAAGAAGAAGACGGAGAAGGCGAAAAACAAACAACCGAAACGATTATTACAAAGAAGAAGTGGCGGAGAAGAAGAGGAAGAATTGAAATAGAAATTTATTATACAATGTCGAATATTGTCAATATATATATATATATATATATATATATATATATATATATATATATATATATATATATACGGGGAAAAGGAAAATTCTTAGACAATGGGAAAAAAAGAAACAAAAACATCACCGAACCAAATACAAAATTCAAAATTATAACTGGAATTTATGTTTTCCAAGATTTTCTATTCTAGAAAACTTGATGATCCACTGAAGAAGAAGGCGGATAAGGAGAAGGAGGGGGGAAAATAACGATCAAAGAGAGAGATCAGATAGATCGCATCACACACACACACTATGAAGACATAATTGGTCTACAAAAAAACGTTAACAGGAAACGGAGGGTGGGGATATGGGCTGGAGTGAATTCAACAAAGAGGTGTGAAGTGTGTGTGGGTAGGTGTGAAATCAACGCTAACAAGATTCGCTAGATATTAATTACAGTGTCGAACAGCTTTTCTGTAATAACAACGCATATTTGTCTGTATTTCCGTGGTAGAAACATGTGAGAAATACGTGTTACTCAGAAATATCCGTATAGAAAGGAAAAAATAAACAGCTTGTGATTAAAGCATCAAGATTGCACAGTGTCTCTGTGTGTAGGTGTGTGTGTGTGTGGGAGGGGGGGTTGGAAAGGCGAGCTAAGAAGAAATACAGAGTTGTTCAGTGAGCTAGCTGAAACAACAGAAAATATCCTTTTCACGCCTCTCTCTCTCTGTCGGTGTATCTTGGTATACCAATTACGCAGAGTAACACTGGAAAAATACTATATATATAATACAGATCTGTTTGCTTATTTTTAGATAAATATGAAACATTATAGGCAAGAAAATGAGAAAATAGTCAAATGCACGACCAATCCAAGAAGAAGGAATGTGTATACTACTAATATACTACCACTACTACTACTAGTACACATGCATTTTGTATATATTTAATCCCTCTGAGAAATTATGTAATTTAGATCGGATTGACAGTCAGTTGGACAGACGCAAATACGCGGGTACACCTACGCACACACACGTGCGTGTGTGTCTCTGTGGGTGTGTACAAATAAGGAGACAGAGATACAGGATTGGGGGGAGGGAGGGAGGGAAAGAACATTATAGGCAGGAGATAAATCAACTCAATGTCAGTCGATAGGATATTACGGCGCGGAGAGGGGGGCGGCGGCTTAACGGGGGAGAATCGTATACAGATAGATAATCAGATAGATAACATACATACATCCACACACACACGCACACACAAAATGACGAAAATACTCATTTATAATATATATTAATGACGATAATTATGAAAATTAGGAATAGTACTTATAATAAACAAATCTTAGTTATTTATTAGTAATGTTATTGTCTTGAAATGCCAGTATCCATAGTAATACATACATACACACACCTGCATACATACAAAAGATTACATTGTGAATCAAATGTACACGAGATAAAAGAAAAACGCTGCAAAGACAAAGGTAAATAGATACAAAGGAGGAGAGGGAAATACGCAGAGCTTGTCATAGCACACATTGTGCAACACAGATATACATATACAGACACGCACATGCATACAAACACAAGCGAGAAATAACGTGGGGCGGAGTAAACCACCTTCTCTCACAGAAAAAAGAATTTGAGCATATGACGTAACAGTAGCGGAGTAGTTCATAGCCTCTCCTAACTCACACATACACACAGAGAAATACAAACTTCGCCGAGCAAAACTGTACACAAAACAAAAAGTTGTAATATTCACGTGTGTGCGTGTGTACATGCGTGTATGTATGTATATAAATAAGGAACGAAGACACCGGATACTGAGAGAAAAGTTTATCTGCGCTCTTCTCTCAATGCAATCAATTATTGCATCATACAATGGGATAGGCAATATATGAAACCAAGGGAGAAATTGAGCTTATTAACTTGCTCACTCACTCGCACACACACACGCAGACAGGCACAATCCACTGCTTATAAAAAAACAAACAAACAATCAAAAAAAGAAAAAGAAGAGGAAAGAAAACAAAATTCATCATGACAGAATTAACGAATCAGTTGACGTTTGTTTTGTCACATATATCTCTCCTGTTTTTTGTCGTACCTGTTTGTATGCCTCTTTGCGCCATTGTAATTGTTGAGTAATTTTTGTCCAAATATCGTCGAAAACAAGGGAGGTGATATAATCAGCATTCAGATATACAAGGATCAATGAATGAATGAATGAATGAACGTCTGTGTGTATGTATGTATATATAGTGCGTAATAGATTATTATCACAGTATTCACAGGAAATTAATTATTATTTCAATGATTTAATAGGTAATATCATCAATTGATTAATTAATTAATTAATTGATGTATTCATGTATTTATTTATTAATTGGAATTGTTTAAAATGTTCTATTGTGTATAGACGAAGTCGATGATGAACTCCAATCATTGTTAGTTGAATGACATCCAGGTATTTGACTACCATTACTATTAATACTACTATTATTATTGTTATTAGTAGTATTAGTGGTAGCAGTTGTAGTAGGGGCAGTAGCATTCTCTTTCACACTAACCTATAAATGATGAAATTAATTCACAAATAATATAAAATATAAATTACAATAATCATTTTTTTCTCTAATAACTTGACAACTTACATGTGTGTAAATATCAATTATCAAGTCTTACAAATGACCTAATTAATATGAGTTAGTGTGGATTGAGGATGGTGGTGGGGGGGGTTGACATTATTTACGTCAATGTTTTTACTAATATTATTGTTCCCATGGGTTCCTAGTGGAAAATAGGGCTTCAACTGCACGTCTCCACTTGCCACTTCTGTCTTCCTTCTTCTGTACTTTTCACCTGCATCATCCATGTTAGTCCATGCTGTTTCAACTCCTCTTCACACGATCTCCTCCATGTCACCCTTGCACTGACGTCCCACTCGCCGCTTCCCTTTCGGCCTGGTTCCACTCGAGCGATGGCCTGACGCGCGTGCGATGTCACCCAGCGGCCTCCTCAGCGAGTGTTCAATCCATCTCCACTTTCTCCTGCATATTTGTTGGTTGGGTGATTGGTTGTTATTTTGTTTGTTCCCATAGTTTCTTGTTGTTAATTCTTTCTGGCCCGCTCATCTGACTGATATTCAGTATAAAGCAAAGACAGTTGTTGTTGATGAAGGTCTGAAACAGGCTGTTGGAAATATTCTTTGTGACGCACCCGCTAAGTTTCTGATCCGTATAGAAGAACTGACTGACTTGACGTTGTTTGTATTGAAAATCCGACTGAATTTTGTTATTGGTGCTGAGTGACGAAGATTTCTAGATTGGTTTCAGGTTGATGTGTTTCTCACCCCCACCCGATTCTCAATTTGAAGTGCTCGTCTGTTTCGACTGCCTGTAGTTGAGACAGTGCTCCCTAGGTGATAAGTGGATGAAGTAACCTCTTTCAAATCCCTCCCGTTGATGGTGATTGGCGATGGATGTTGCTGCTGTTGTTGTTGGTTGGTTATTTTTATAACCTCCATCTTGTCTATGTTCACCTGGAGTCCTGTCTTCGCCGGCTGCTTCTTCGATCAGTTTGTCGGTTTTTGCTTGTAAGTCTTCGATTTTGTGCGAAATCAAATATAAATCATCCACGCGCGAAATCCAGGTCTTCTAGGTTCTTCACGTCGGTCCTATAATAATGCACATGAAAATATATAAATATGCGTTGATTTCCCTTACCTTCTGTTGTTACATTTGGTGTCGCTGCCTAACAAGAAATGGAAAGCCTACGCCCTGCAGTTTTTGATGGACACATATGGATCTTCGGGCAAGACTTCGAGGCTTCTGAGCAGTTGAGTGGTGTTCAAGATCCGTCAGCGGTGAGGCTGTTACTTGGGACGCTGCTGGGAGGTCGGGAGAAAGCAGCACATGAAGGTGTAAGGCAAAATACCTACGAATGTGTGACAAAGATCAGGCAAACAGTTTCCAAAGTGGGAAGGACCACATATAGTCACACTGAGATGGGGTTACGCAGACACAATGGCAATAGTGAACAAGGAGAAACAGGTGAACAGCAGCGAGTGCCGAGATTTCAGACAGCAACACAAACGAGCAAAGAGCCTAGAACCAAGAAGACCGAACCAACATCCGTCACAAGTCTTAGACGGGGGGACGAGTGTGGTAAGGAGCTGGCTGTTGGTCAAAATTGGTGGACAGTAATTTACGTCAATGTTTATGTCCCCAATATTGGTTGTGAGAAAAATCAGAACAGAGGCTTTGCGTAGGCGGATACAGTTAACATATAGATGATCTATCATTCAAGAAACAGCCAAAAAGAGATGAAAGATTAACTTTCAGTGAGAAACAACCAATCAGAAAACTGCGTTTATCTGCTAACAATAACCTATAATAATGTACATGAAAATCTGTAAATATCTGTTGATTTCCTTAATAAACGATCTTTTGCCTGGCCCTTGTCTTCTGTTGTTACAGAATAAGCTCACCAACCGGCCACCAGCACAACCAGCACACATGTGATCCAGGGTTCAATCCCCAACCCCGATCAACGTATTTTTTCGAACCTCGCTCAGCCGGTAGTAGACTCAGTAAAGAGTGGAAGATTGGATATGTAAGGCTAGCAGCAACCAGTGGTACACTGAAATATCAAAAGCTCGAACTTGAAGTCTCATGTAATTCCATATTACATGTATCTGCGGGAGCAGTTACATTGGGAGAAGAGAAAGGACACACCTCCGATTTTCTGAACATGTGCCGAAAAGCCTACGTCTTCAGTTGGGAACAAACTCTTATAGTAGCCCTATTACCAGACATGTCCTCAACACGGATCATAAGGTGGAAATCGAGAAATCTTTTCAAATTATCAATAGACAAAGGAACTCCATTCTTCTCAAGTTTGTCGAAGCAATTTCTATCAAACGCTTGAAACCAGATTTATGTGTTCAGAAAGAAGCAGTTATTAGTCTTTCTTTGCCCGGCCTGGTAACTGGATGTCTTTATTCTCTCATCTGATTACGTAATCTTTGTCTGTAACCTCAATCCCTTTTATAATCTGTGATTTTGCTTGTCTCTTGTTTCTATGATTTGAGTTGAACTCAGTACATTGGTACCTAATTTCTCAGTCACTCATCACTTTCCGCATTTCTCGTCTTTATTACGTAACTCCTCTACCATTGTATGCATACATTTATTTTGTTTAAACTTCCTTTGTAAAGACTCTATAAGCGCAATTTTCTGAGGAGTGTTCACTAATAGTGGAACTTTCTGTCAACTGAAAACATGTGAAATTTGCAAGTATGTTAAAACTTTTCTGTACATAAACCTCATAATTTATTTAGGCGGTAAGCAAGCAGCTGAGCTGATGAGAAGCCAACAAAATAAGCGATGATGGCACCACATTATTCTAAACAAACCACCACTGTTCTTGCTTTATTCAAATTCATCAAGGGGAATAAATGCATGAAATTACATAATAGTTTGTTTATTAGATATGTCACACAGTGGAGTGGCAATATTACTATTTACTGGATGATAAAATTTCGAACAAAATTTATTACTGTTCATAATCATTTCATCATCAATTATAATCACACGACTTCGAAACTTGAGTTTTAAAGTTTCCTTTGTTCCCTCCGGTTTGTCATCGTTGGGGTAGTAGAATTCTCCAGATATCCGACTGCATAGGTATCTAATCATTCTTATTACACTGATTCTATTCAGTTCTTGGTCAGAAGAACTTGAACTTAGGACAAAAGTGCCACTTGAGGATATAATGCTGGGAGTACAGCTAGCTATGCCTGACTTCCACAGTATTTAAATTCCAAGGGAAAATATACAAACAAGCTGAGGGAGTTGCTATGGTATCACCAATATCCCCGGTTGTAGCAGATATATTCATGGATAGGTGGGAAAGCATAGCGACTGAAACGTTCACCCCCACCCCAAAAGTATGGTGGAGATATGTAGATGACACATTCACTGTACTTAGAACATAAGATATAGATAGATTTTTCGAACACATCAACTCAAAGGTGGAGGCAATTCGATTCACTTATGAATTAGAAAGTCAAGAGGGGGAACATCCAGTGTCAGATTGTAGCATAAAAAGGAAAGAAGATGGGAAGTTAAACACTAATGTGTGTTCACAGGAAACTCACACATTCAAACAGATATTTGGACTTCCGATCATCCCATCCTATGTCAGTGAAAATAGTATTGATGAAATGTATAAGTAATAGGGCACAAAACTAAGTACTACCAAGTAAAATCTAAGACAGGAAGTAACACATATAAGAGAAGCCTTGAGCATTATTAATTACCCTGACAAATTAATCGGAAAGTGTGTAGGGAAATGTAAAAATAAAATGGATAATGATAGTAGTGATAGTGATAATAATAATATTAATGACGACACGCAAGTCAAATGTGCGCAAGACGACACCAACAATAAGGAATCTAAATTATCAGTCGTAAGAAAAGAACCTCGGAAACCACCTTACGCAGAATTCTTAACAGTGTAGGCAGAGATAAAAGTGACTGGCATTCAAACCCACAAACTCAATTAGAAACAAGCTTTGTCGGCTGAAGAATCAATCCTGTGGAGCCATTAAAACAAAACAATTTAGTTTATCCAATACCCTGTCTGCAATGATTGTCAGGTCAAATACATAGGTCAAAGTAGTAGAACAGGTGCAGTCAGACTAGCCGAGCAAAATCTAGATTAGTTGACCCGAATAAGATAAGAAGTCTAGAGAATAGTTCAGCTATAGCACTCACTATACGCAATGACACACAACCATACAGCATAGGATGGGATAGGTTGACAATTTTAAAACATAATATAACAGGGTGGAGGGAGAGATTGATAACAGAAGCTTTGTTTATCGAATCAACTGAAGAGAATACGTGTAATAGAAATGATTCAACACTTGTCCACCCATATATCTGGAAAATTCTACGATCACGCCTACGACGAGAAACAGGAGAGAGCAAAGAGAACCATAAAACTCAAGTTTCGAAGTCGTGTAATTATATTTGATGAAATGATTATGAACAGTAATAATTAGTGTTCGCACCTTTTTCATCCAGTAAATAATAATACTGTTTCATCACTGTGTGATACATGTGATAAACAAACTAATATGGAATTCACTTACTACCACAGTGCCCAAGATCTACACATATATTGAAGTCTCATGCTTCATTTTCAACACAAAGAAATAAATTAATTAGTGTGAGCCTATAGAATGCTTATGTAACCCAGTGGTATTGTGTAGTATACTCTACATGCAAACGTCTCACCCTGATACTGGTTTGTGGCGAAGTTAAACTATACGGTCCCAGTGGATGCGAACGCTTCAGTGACCTTGATCGCTAGTCGTTGGCTAACGACATCTATCACATTATTATAGTGCAAATATGAATACTACTCACCAACTGAGCGGCAAATTTCACCAAATTCATGTTTTTAATTAGTGTTTGGACGATTTGTCAATAGAGTGTTAGTGTTAAGGTTAGAGGCATTCCAGAGGAAGATACCCTGTTTAATGCATTTTCTCGTGAATGTACGTCATTTTTTGTGCAAAAATCACTTATTTTTATGATTGTGCGGTTCAAGGTGACTCGTGTGTTCGCCTCCCTTGCGTTCGCCAGTTTAACTTTGCCTCATTTTTGACACTTGTGTGCCTCGTGGACCTCCAACGTTCCCCGAGGTCACGGGTTCGAATCCAACAGCTCCATCCAGTGAGGTTTGGACAGTCAGGTACACAAGTGTGTGGCTAATATTGGCAGCGTGCTTAAACCTTGGACCACCAAAATTTTCTATCATTTATAATGCATCTGATTAATCGGATTTATTTTGTTTTAATTATTCAATTATGCGTCGAAATCGTATTACTTACTCTCGCGATTATTTAAAACGTTTTCAACCTGATGATTTACGTGTTTATTATAACCCTAAGAAAAAGCATCATGGTGGGTGGCAACGATCCTTAAAGTGTACCCCAATGCATCAGATGACTGTTCCTAAGCACAAATTGCAGGTCATTATCGAATAAGATTGATTATTTGGATGCTCTATTATGTTCATATATTTACCGTAATACATGTGTAATCACACATCGAGAAACTTGGCTCCACGATTCATATGATGACAACTTAATCTTACTGAGTGAATTCAATATGTACAGACAAGACCGAAGTAGTTCAAGGAAGAAGCGAGGTGGTGGTGGTGGTGCTGCTGCTTTAAATTCTGAAATGATAATATTAATAATAATAATAATAATAATAATAATAATTGACTGTATAACTGTCAAATGTCGACCTAAACATATGCCTAAGTACAAATTCGTATATATTACGAACATTTATGTCACACCTTGTTGTAGCACTTCAGAACTATCTACGCTTGCTGATGAATTCACTATTTTCGCTGCCACCTCTTTTGGTAACTTCCTGTCCATAGTGACAGGTGTTTTTAACTCTTCTGACTGCAACTTTCTTAGAGTGCCAGATCATGAAAATGTCATTTACTTTCCCACCAGACTGGATACTTTTCTTGATCTTGTATTTATAAATGACTGCGGAATATATGAAGTTCGTAAAAGAGCCCCACTGTTTAGCTCCGATAATTGTACTGTACGGGTTTTCCTCTAAATTTATGCAAAGTTACACAAGAAAACCTTTTCATACCTGTCCCAGAAAATTGTACATAGATGTTACTCTAGGAAGAATGTTCAGAATCTTAGGAGTGTGCTCAAAGACAAAAGGTGAGACTTGTTTAATGAAGACTCTTTAGAGGACACTATCTCAAATACTACAAGTTATCTCAAATTTTGTCTTGACACCTGTTGTCCCAGGGAAACACTCTTCATCACATTTGACCGTTTCTCCTCCCCTCAACTTGAAAAGCTTCGCAGGGAAAAGTTACATAAAATGGAGTATAACATTGGTGTGAAAAGAATTAATATCCTAATCAACTCTAAGATGCATAGGTTGAATTCAGTTTATAACCAGAAGTTTATATCCTGTAAAAACGCCTCTAATAAATGGAAACTCTTCAAAGGAATTACTGCTAGTAAGCAGATAAATAGTATTCCTTATTCATTTTGATGTATGTACACTGAACAAGTCTTTCATACATCCTCTCTCCTCACTTTCTAGTGTTAAAAGTGTTAATGAAATTTCCGCTTCCCTGGTTTCAATACAAATGATGTTCTAAAATGTCTCCAGTGGCTGAACTCTTCTTGTACCCTGGCCTACATTCACTAAACTCATTAAACTTCAATTTATTTCACATTAATTTAAGCATGGGATACACATTTCATAAAGTAATGTATTCATTTCGTTGCGCTGCGCTGCGCTGCCTTTCGAGTGTAATGTGGGGGCATCAAGCTTGAAGCTTTAGTAGAGGTAGTGTTGTTGCTAAACCCACGTCCAACCGGGATTCGAATCCCGGATCACGTGCATGGTTGACAAGTAATCTACCACTGAACCCACTTTCACGGAAGCTCATGAATCGATAACTGAAGATGAAACAAAAATTTGGGAGAGCAGCAACAGTCGAACCAACAGCCTCAAAATGACTAAGCCAGACAGGTACTCTACCACTTGAGATACAAAGCGGAATTGTTAATCAGGTCAACATTTCATTATACTTACTACAGACGATCCCATGAAATCGTGTGGATCAATAATACATTGCTATTCAAATATTGGTTTGTAGGGATTTGATTGATTGGTTACAGGATTTCATCATGAGTTCGTAGACAATTAAGCCACTGGGACACAATTCAATGGCCAGTTCATGAATTATAACTTCTGCAGTCACGCTATGCCGTGAATTGGCATAGAGTCTCAAACTAGGACGAAACAGCTGTCCAGTACTTCCAGCTGCTTTCCCAATGGTTCTCTAACCAATGTCAGTTCATGATGAAATCTTGTAATCAATCAATCAAATCCTTACAAACCAATAACTGAATATCGATGAGATGCTCACTGGCGACTGGTCTTATTCAGGTAGGTAGCCACCCGGGTTCTAATGCGAAGTCGTGACCAGTAAGGATGCAGCAGGTCGAGTGTGAAGACAAATACTCGCCGAAGACATTGGCTAGCTGTCACGCTATGTCGTGAGTTGGCAGAAGTTAAAATTCATGGACTGGCTATTAGATCGGATTCTAGTGGCTGATGAATGGTCTACGAGCTCGCTCGCCTTGTAACCAGAAGATTCTGGGTTCCAACCCCAGTGGTGGGTGCATACCGATGAACAGTCCCAAACTAGAACGAAACAGATGTCCAGTACTCTCTTCAGGTTTTCCAATAGTTCTCTAACCAATGTCAGCTCATGATGAAATCCTGGTACATTATTGTCTGTTTATCATGAGACTACCTGAACGCCCAGATTTTCTTTTGTCAGTCGTAATCAAATCGAATTGGGACTGAGTAGGTAGTCAGTTGGTAAGTGAGACTATTTGAGATAGTCTTGAGTTAACAGGTTGATCTACCACCACCACCACCACCGCCACACAGATTCTCATTTCACTCTCAATCATCATTTTTTTCTCCTTTGCGTTCCTCAGTAGGACACAGGGTTTCAGCAGTAGTGGTGGGATTTACCAGCCTCACATCCAACCATCCCTCTTTGTCGGCTTTGCACGGTTTAGAGGTGCGGCAACCGGGAATGAGACCCAAAACCAGATACATGGTTGGGGAACATTCTCCTACTCAATCACCGACACACTTTTTAATCACTACTCACCACTTAAGGTTATCATCATCGAACATTACACACTATCAATTAAACCAATTCTTTGAAATTTCCTATTTACGCTTTAGCAAAAGTTACTCCTTTCCTGCAATTTCGGAAGAATATATGTTGTGCCCTTTATTATAGCATACTTAAAATTTCAATGGAATAATTATTTCAGTGTTAAACACAATATACTACTGAAAAATAGAAAGATTTATAAGTAATATATTACTTACAGGTCTTTGCCAGGCTAAAAATAATCCTTGTTGATCAACTATATGAATTGTATCTCGTCGAAAAACAAGATCAGTTACACGATCTTTTAAGATTCGTGTGCATACAAGCGGTTCAAGCATAGGCACATCACTGATTCGAGGACAGAGAGGGGAGCCAAATATACTAGAAAAGAAAAGCGAGGGAAATAAAGGTAGGCGAGATAACATTAATACAGGCCTAGACTCCTTTTGATTATAGTTATAATGGAACAACACAGAGGATAAAAAAAGCAACAAAAACTGAAAACTGTGAATGATGATACAATGGCAGATTGGTTCGATGTTTGAATCACAATTACTATTACTATTATTATTATTTATTGTTTCCTTTAGTTCCTAGAGGAACATAGGGCTTCAACTGGGGACGTCTCCATAGCATTCGGTTCTCTGCCAACGTTTTCACCTGGCTCCACGTCTACTCATATGCTTTCTTCTTCTACTCTTCACATGACCTCTCTTCCACATCACTCTCGCACTGACAACCAACTCGCTGCTTCCCATTCGGGTTCCACTCGAGCGATAGCCTGGTATGTGTTTCATGTCACTCACTTGATGGTTTTCTCAGAGGTTGGCCTCCAATCCACCTATATCCACTTCTTTCTGCTTGTTTTTTTTTTGCTCCGTTGGTTTGCTTCTAAAGATCCCTCTCCCTGTTACTCATCTTCTCTGGCCATCTGATCTTGAGTATTGATTAAGTCACTAAGCGACAAAATGACTGATAAGTTGTGTTTGTTTTTTTCAAAATCTTGCATATTATGAAACCACACAAAGAAAACCAAATGAAACCAAGCAGATTGTCTGTTGAGACGTCTCAGGATTTGAGACTTTGAGTAAGTCACTGGTTGCTCATTTAGATTATGAACTATATTTGTGTGTGTGTGTGTGTGTGCGTATATATTTGTCTGTGAAACAGTTTTTTTTTGTTGAGAAAAAGATCAATAGTTTGAAGAATACACATCATAGTCAATGCTCTAATTATCCAAATGCATACCTACTTATTTATGATTTTTATAATAATTAGATGTAAGATAAACAATGATATGATTTGATGCGTTTATACACACTACTTAAAGAATGCAGTTGAATGTGAAATGAACGGCACAAAGATATTAAAGATGAAGACATTGGCGTAGATGTCATGTGCATGCATTATCCTTTTTTTTTAATTTCTAAATGTGATCGATTTCATTCAATTCAAAATAAAACCTAGCAGGAGAGTAGAACAGTAAAACCTTTTATTTTTTTAAGTTTCGCACGTTTATTTTTATTTTTCAAGTTATTTAAGGAAGTTGTAACAGAAAATATGCATAAAGTATTACAAGTAATTTATTCACAATAATATAGCAAAATATAATGATACTAGACAGTTGGAGGCAATCGGAAGGAAGTCTTTCCGGGACCTAGGTTTCGTGCTAGTTGGCACTCACCAGTCAGCAAGGCGGCGTATCTGCAACCTTGAAGGAACTCATGTAGCTTCTGAGATTCGAACACGCGTCACCCAGTGCTGCAGTCAAAGACGTTACCACTGAGCTATTCGGACTCGCATTTGACCTCCTGTAGGACTGTAGTTACTAGTGTCCAGTAAAATTACCCACTACAGTCATATAGGAGGTCAATTGTGAGCTCAGTGGTAACGTCTCTGACTGTAGCAGTGGGTGACGCGTGTTCGAATCTCAGAAGCTACATGAGTTCCTTCAAGGTTGCAGATACGCCGCCTTGCTGACTGGTGAGTGCCAACTAGCACGAAACCTAGGTCCCGGAAAGGCTTCCTTTCGATTGCCTCCAAACTATCTAATATCATCAAATCAATGTGCACCGTGATGGCGAGCTACCTAGAATGGTGGCCACATTGCAAAGGCTGACTGATAGAATTCAGTCTGCACCAAAGAAAGGACTAGATACGTCACATTGGTTACTAGTGTCCAATTAAACATAATTTAATGTTGAGTAAATTTGATTAATGACTGACTGACTGGTTTCAGCATAGAACTTTGTACAGATGTGCAGCAATTCGAGTTGCCACACCCCCTACTTGTAGCACACAAAGCAAGAGAAGACAATAAGGAGAGATTCAAAAAAGAGATACTAAACACAAGTGTCACTGAAAAATAGTAGTAATGAGGACGAACTACACAGTTTTACTGGATATGATAAATCACAAAGAGTGAATGCACCTGCGCCAGCCATTGAGAACGATTTTCAGCTAAATCACCTATTGTCTCCAGCCTTCATTGGCTCTTACCATCCTGAGGACACCAATTAGTAAGAAAGTCTACACCTCCCGACGTGGCTAGTTCAAACTAACTGTTTTGGATTTCATTGGCTGATGAGGCCATGTTTTAGTGTGATCACCACCACTAGCTAGTTCTTTTCCAACCTGATTCACCCAATCTCAGTCAGCACTGCCCATTGTCGAGGAAGGTGATCCGTGGCTAGACATACATGGGTGATACATGTCCAACCCATCTCATTCTGTGTAACTTCACAACCACCCGTGGAATGATTTCCCCTCTTTACCTACCACTCACTCGACTGATGCATAACCTCAATATTGCTCACCCTATAATACCACCTCCTGACATGGATGATAGAATGCAGACCCTACGATCGAAGACAGCTAGCTAGCCAAGCTTTTCATTTACTGCTGAGCAGTACACACATCCTTTGGTTGACAGTCAGATATCATGTCCACACCAGAGATGAAGTAAGTTGGCGTATGCCAAACAAGCCTTCTGTATCTGTGCTCAAATTTCATTAGCGATCAACCCGTTGGCGTTGGCTGATGCAAATTCCCAAAGAAGTAAATTAGTTGGCACGCCTCCTTATCTTTAAGCTAGGAATCAATGTAGTCCAGTCCTGTGACATCATCTGACATTTGACAGCAGGAGCGAATCGCATGTCAAATATTCGCAGATTGCAGCTCAAGATATTCTGCATTTTGTCAGCCTCCTCACCTAGAAGGACATCTACATATTCTAAGTCAATCAGATTACTCCATGGTGGTAACACGTCAATCCCTGAGTTGCTGATGTCAGTAGTTAAGGTTAATTCCATTAGTACACGTATGATGAAAATGAATAGAAACGGGGATAGTGGGTATCCCTGACGGACACCACTTCTTGTCACCAGTTCAGACGACAACTCGCCGTAAGCTCTCACCTGGCTGGCTGCACGAGTTCGAGTACAGTGTCTTGATCAGTGAAATGTATTTTCTCGGCATTTCCTTCACAGCCAAACATCGCTTTCTTTCTTCATTTCTTTGAGGTGAACTACCTACTTTGATGAAACCCTAAAACTTTGACTAAAGGCTAAGAGAATCTTTCTCAAGCATCTGAAAAATGGCTATAAATAGTTATGAATGTTCAAAGTGAAAAGTAACACACACGTTTGAAGATAACTAAGATGTCATGGAGTAATTTTGCACTGTCTGTTGTTAGAACACTTTCATGTACCAGGCTATGTAAGGGTCACTTATTGTATAGGAGCTTGAGGTAGGTGTGGTAGCACTCGAACTCGGCGCCCAGTGACTGGAAGTCAACTGCTTACGCCAGTGAGTCGGCCACATACACTTTGCACTGAATACTGAAACGGTTTTTAAAACTGGTAACTATGACGTCGAAGACTGAAGAGGTGTGGCTGATTGGTTTAGGCACTTGATTTCCAATCAAACTGGTCATAGACTCGAAATCCCTATCCACTTACCACGGTTTGGGCAGCCAGGTAGTATCATTTAGCCATCAACATCATAGGTGTGATTTATTGCCGATCGCATAGAAATGCAGGTGGTTATTGAGTAACACATTATATTTCCCTATATTATGGCCTCGAAGCAGATATTTATGGCTATACAAAGCGGTCATCGATAACTCTTGAAGTGTTTGAAAATCGAGATTAGATGTTCAGACAATGAAAGAAAATACAGCATAATCTCATCACAACATATTGTATCACTCTTTATCTCACGTTTAAAGGTGAACCATACTTCTCTTTTAGAACCTCGTCATAACTAATTGTTCTTCAAGTATTGGTTTGTAAGGATTCGGTTGATTGGTTACAGGATTTCATCATGCGCTGACATTGGTTAGAGAACCATTGGAAAACTAGCTGGAAGTACTGGACAGCTCTTTCGTCATAGTTTGGAACTCTTCATCAGTACGCACCCAACGGGGTTCGAATCCAGGACCTTCTGGTTGCAAGGCGAGCTCGTAGACCATTAAGCCACTGAGACCCAATTCAATGGCCAGTTCATGAATTCTGCGGTCACGCTATGTCGTGAGTTGGTGTAGAGTCCCAAACAAGGACGAAAAAGTTGTCCACTACTTCCAGCTAGTTTTCCAATGGTTCTCTAACCAATGTCAGCTCATGATGAAATCCTATAACTAATTGTTCCTGAATAAAATTTGTCATTGATTTTGAAATCTCGTGCACTAAACATTCATTCGAGGTTGAACTACACAAGAGAATGTCTTACGCCAAGAAGTTTCTCTTTCCATCGATTCAGGTATAACATTAAATCTAGTAATAGTGACCTTTTATTTATCTAGCCTCCTGATCGCTGACGAAATCTCAACACGGAGACAGAGGGCTAGTTTTGCATATAGCAGTTTACGTCGTCTCTAGCTTAGTAGACATGATATCCGGTTGGCTATCGATCAAATGGCGTGTGTAATGCTCAGCAGTCCGCCCCGTCCTCCTTTATGACTGTGAGTAAGACCTAGCCATTGAGAGTGGAAGACATGAAAAGCCTAGCTAGCTGTCTTTGATCATAGGCGCCTGCGTTCCATCTCCTGTGGGAAGTGGTATAATAAGGTAAGCAATACTGGGGTTAAGCATCGAGTGCTAGGTGAGGAGGGGAAATCAATCGACGAGGCTGTGAAGCTACATCCACTGAAGTGGTTAGGATATGTGCTCCCCATACCTAGAAATCTCCTTCCTCGACTGACGGGCGATGTTAGCTGACATAGGGTCAGGTTGGAAAGGAGCTAGCTAGCGGTGGTCTAACCAAAACATGGCTTCGTCACTCAATGAAATCCACAACAATTAGTTTGAGCCAGCCACGTAGGAAGGTGTAGACTGGCTTCCTCGTTGGAGTCCTCGGGACGGTAAAAACCAATGAAGGCTGGAGACAATTAGTGATATGGTTCAAAATCGTCTTTCTCAATGATGACTAGCGCAGATGCATCCACTCCTTGAGAATTATAAAACACAGGGGAACTATATTGTTCTTCGATAATACTATTCCTTTTGCTTTATATTTATGTTTACTATCTCCCTATTGAGTTTCTTCTCTTCCTTTGTGTGCTACATGAAGGGAGTCTGGCGCCTTAATCTGATGCACATCGGTGCAAAGTTCTATGTTGAAAACAGACAGACAGCACATGAAGATAATTTTTATAAGTGCTCACACTAATCTTAGTAATAAAGTGAGCATATCGTGTAAAAATATGTAAAAAAACAAACAATACTTATTTTTACGAGTTTGACGATGGATTGATATCAGTTCGAGAACCACTGAAAACCAGGGAGTGCTAGACAGCTGTTTCGTCCTAGTTTAGCATTCTTCATCAGTACACACCCTCCACAGGACCTTCCGGTTATAGGACCAGCAAGCTCGTATACCATTCAGCCACTGGGACCGGAATCCAATAGCCAACCCCTTGAATTCTAACTTCTACCAATTCGTAATTTAGCTTGACTGGCACCAACCAATATATCATCGGTGGGTTTTTAAATGGTTCTCTAACACTGATATCAATCCGTGGTCGAACTCGTACAACAAGCCAACGTCTTGCAAAGACAAAATAACTTACTTATTCTCAGTTATTTGTAACATCCACTTGACTTCACTTAAACGTCCCAGACTGCATGTTTTCAGTGAATTGGTTGTAGATCCATTCGACTTGTCTGAATTACCAATTCGTGGAAATCGTACAATTCCACTAATACGACTACTTGTATTTGAATAAGACCAATGAAAACCACGTGAGAAAATAGACTTTGTCTTATCTGATGATCCACTGCTATTTGTACCATTCGATGGTGGACCAGATGACGGTGTAGAATTGGAAGTATTTTTACGCTTATTATTATTATGATTATTATTATTAAAAAGTCGATTATCACCTGATTTAATAGAAAATCGACTTGAATTGATGTGAGGAGATGAAACAGTTGATGACGTAGATGAAGCATTACCCGATTGTGGAGAGGGTAAAGCAGTCGGGGAGCTACAATTCATACTGTTACTACTACTACTACTACCACCGCTAACAGCACCACCACAAGCACCGCCACCAGTCGTCGACATTATGCTGTTGTATGTATTGTGAATAGAAGAGTTTTTTACAATAGGGAAAGAAGTATCACAGGTCAGAGTTTCAAAATTAGAATTTACACTGTTAATTGAAGATCGAAGAAATTCAACGCCTTGACGAATTATATCATCTGTCAGATCCCATAAGCATAGCATTGTATCATGTCCTACTGAACCAAGACTAAAAGTAATTGAGAAGGGAAATAATGAATATAGTAAATTGTTTTAATATATATATATATATATATATATATATATATATATATATATATATACAGTAATGACCTCTAATTCCTTTTACACAACTTTTTCCTGCCTATAGTGGAACTGTGACTTTCTGGTCAAGGCATTCAATTACAAAACCGTTGGGATACAGGTTTGAACCTTGCTACACCTATGAAACTGTAGGCAGATAGGGAGTGTTGTCACGACAGAAGACAAGGGCCAGGCCAGACCAGGCCAGACAGATCGTTTATTGGGAAAATCAAGAGATATTTATATATTTCTATGTATATTATTATCAGCGGAGAAGCAATGTCTTCTGATTGGTTGTTTTCCTGCCTGAAGGTTACTTTGTCATCACTTTGTGGCCGTCTCTTAGAAAGTTAAGCCATATATCTGTGAATCGTATTTGCACGCGTTAAGTCTGCTGTGATTGGTTGGTGAGTTCCCCAACTTTAAAAGCTTTGTTATTGTTCTTCCTTTCTTATGACCCCGATTCGGGACTGCATAGAAATCCAGTAACATTTCCACTTTAGTGATTTTTCCCCATTTTGGGTGGTGTGACACAGACAATGTATTCCAACGAAATATTAATATATCCTTTAATTCGTAGAGGAACTGCGCGTCTCCATTGCCTTCGGTTTTCTGCCAACTTTTCCACCCCGCTCCAAGTCTGTCCACATGATTTCTTCTCCACTTCACATGACCTCCTCCTCCATACCACCCTCTCACTGACGACCAACTCGTCGCTTCCCTATCCGGTTCCACTCGAGCGATGGCTTGTCTAGTGATGTCACTTGATGGTTTCTTCAGCATATGGCCAATCCATCTACCTCCATTTCTTCCTGCATATTTGTTGCACAATCGGTTCCTGGTTGGTTCGCTCGTTGCCAGAGATCCCTGTGGCTGATCTTTTCTGGCTGGCCATCTGATCTTCAGTACTGAGCGAAGACAACTGTTAATGAAGGTCTGAAGTTTCTTTGAAACGCTCTTTATGACGCGCCAAGTCTCTGATCCGTGTAGTAGCAGTGACTTCACATTATAATTGAAAATCCGGATCTTATTTTTGATGCTGAGTGTTTTTGACTTCCACACAGATTTGAGAGTCATGAAAGCTTGTCTCGCTTTTCCGATCCTCACCTTGATATTCTCGTCAGTTCCGTCCGCTTGTAGTTGAAACGAAGCTTCGCAGGTAGGTAGGTAAAGGAGGTTGTTTCTTTCAGGTTCCTCCCATTTATGCTGGCTGATTGTTGTCTGTTGTTGTTGCTGTTGGCCAGAAATTTTCATCACCTCTGTTTTATCTATGTTCACCTGAAGTCCTATCTTTGATGCTTCTTCTGCCAGCTTATTGCTTTTCAATTGCATATCTTCCAGTTTGTGGGAAATCAGACATATATCATCGGCGAAGTGCTGATCCTCCAAGTCTTTTGTGTGCGTCCATTTTATGCCTGTTTCCTCATTGCCCGTTGTCTGTTGCATTATCCAATCTGCTGCAATCAGGAAGATCATTGGCGATAATAGACAGCCTTGCCTCACTCCCGTCCTCATTCCGAAGGCTTCCGTAAGTTTCCCGTTGTGGGTTACTTAGAATGCAGCATTGTCGTATAACTGTTGGATGATATGTATAATTGTCGATGGTACCCCTTGGGTAGTAGCGAAGTAGTTTCCAAATGACCTCTCGATCGACGCTGTCGAAGGCCTTTTCAATGGAATATGATTCTCACATATTTTCAGAGTTTATTACTGCGTTAACAACAGAATACTATGTATATTTGAATATTCTATTTCACGTCGTTTAATTTAAACGAAAATCACACGCTCAGTGATTGGTTAACGAATACAAATCATATATATATATATGATTATAGCTTGATTTCACACAGTATTTTTGTTACAAGCATGGAATTTTCAGCATGTGATATAGATAGCCCAAATTTTGCAGGCCAACTATTGATGATATTAGGTGTGTGTGTGTGTGTGTATGGATCGGCAGGGGAACGAAACCCGGACCATGTGCATAGTCGGCGAGAGTCCTAATCGCTGTGCCGCAGACGCGTACACTGCATATTACACATTTTACACACTCTCAATAGTGACTGGATAACAAAAATGCTGTAGAGAAAGAGAAGTGTCTCAAAGACTAGCGAAGATGCATTATTTCTTCTTCATACTGAAAATAGGATTCTATAAAGCACGCCTGACATTGACACATTAAAAGATATGTTTTACTAAGATTTCGAATGAGTTTATTATCCGGAATATCTTACACACTGCATAACCTATAATGGTAATATGTTCATTTGACAATAACTGGTTAGCAAACACACAGAAGCGTCAACAAGTTTATAATATGGACGAGGAATGCAGCTAGTGGCTTCAAAATTAAGAGCTCAGTAGATTTTCACATTGAGTCCAATGCCTTTAGAAATTCAATATGGATAACGATCTTAACCAAAGTCGAGTAGTTTCTGAACTGTCAGGCTACGGATCACCCGAACGGTAAATCAGAGTTTATAAATTCCAACGGAGACCCTTTTAAATCCCATTGCCAAATATAGCGGAGTGCAAACATAGCTGGCTTATTGGTTGTCAATAACACCCTTAATAACCAACAGCAGCACGACGTTCAACACAATGCAAATACCTTACCTTACCTTACACTATGATGAGTCGGTGACACAGGGGTTAGGACGCTCGCCGACCATGCACATGGTCCAGCGTTCGATCCCCGGCCAGAAATAAAAGCTGGTAAAGAGGAAAGGTCGGGCATGAGGCTAGCAATCCCATCCTATAAAAATAAACACTGCTACAGAAACTTCAAGCCTCTAGCTTGAAGCCCTATGTTCCAGTGGGAACGTGGTGACTGCTTCTAATATGACTGCTATTCAAACGATCCTTCTGATGTGCTAAGAACTACAAGGAATATTCTTTCCAAACTTTGCCTTCAGAATTAGAAACAAGACTGAATAACTCTGAGGAGAACAAATAGATGAATTCAAGTATTGGTTTGTGGGGATTTGGTTGATTGGTTAAAGGATTTCATCATGAGCTGACACCAGTTAGAGAACCATTCGAAAACCTGGGAGTACTGGACAGCTGTTTCGTCCTAGTTTGGGACTCTTCATCAGTACGCGCCCACCGGGATTCGAACCCAGGACCTCCTGGTTACAAGGTGAGCTCGTATACCATTCAGCCACTGGGACTCAATCCAATGGCCCATGAATTCTAACTTCTGCCAATTCACGAATACTCGCCGAAGACATTGGCTAGCGGTCGCGCTATATCGTGAATTGGCAGAAGTTAGAATTTATGGGCCACTGGATTGGGTCCCAGTGGCTTAATGGTATACGAGCTCGCCTTGTAACCAGAAGGTCCTGGGTTCGAATCCCGGTGGGCGCGTACTGATGAAGAGTCCCAAACTAGGACGAAACAGCTGTCCAGTACTCCCAAGTTTTCCAGTGGTTCTCTAAATGATGTCAGCTCATGATGAAATCCTCCATGCAATCAAACACGAAACCCCTACAAAAACCAATACTAGAAAATTAAATGATAAGTAATCCACTGATAATTTGAGACATGAAAAAAAATCTATTAACCGACTAACCGATAAGTTCGTAGATCATCACTTTCACACACTGTAGTAACCGGTGAATTTCTAACCACTGAATTTTCATTCAATTCTTCATGATTTCCTGTAAGTGAGTGGCAACGTGATTTGGTATAGACAGGAGATGTATGAGAAATGTCATCACTGCTAGGACATAAATACGGATCGAAGCGTACCATACTAACCCAGGACTTATGACCCTGACCACGACAAATAACAGCTCTGTCCAGCACAGACCAGATTGTTATTAAATCATCTTGTCCTCCAGTAACAATAAACAAACTATCTGGTGACCAGTCGACGCATAGTAATCCACCAAAGTAGGAACGCATAAAACCCTAAAATGAAAAAAAGAGTATTTTGACTTATGTCCTTCAGATATCACAGAAGAGGAAAAAATTTGGGGATTGTAATAAACAAAGGGTCTTTCATTCGATATAATATATACAAAACCTTATCAACGACAGTCTAACTAGCATCTATACTTTCGATTCTTTGCACATTTTTACCGGTAGATATTTTTTTCATTATATGTTGAGGCGAATCAAGGTATCTTCAACCAGTAAAGCATTTTTATTGGATTCCACTTACTTGATTTTTACCGCGGATGAAATAGTTCTTCTAGGTGAAGACGTTGACAAAATACCGAGTATTCTGAACACTGAGCAGGTCCTGTCAAATTTAGGATGATGCTATAGGGCTAGTCTACATCGACTCCTAGCTTAAAGATACGGAGGCGGCGAAGTGGTAGAGCGTGTCAACCAGTTCACTTATATGGGAACTGGTATCAGCCAACGCCAACGGGTTGATTGCTGATGAAATCTCAGCACAGATGCAGAAGGCTCGTTTGGCATACGCCAACTTACTTCATCTCTGGTGTGGACATGATATCTGACTGTCAACCAAAGGATGTGTGTACTGCTCAGCAGTAAATGAAAAGCTTGGCTAGCTAGCTGTCTTCGATCGTAGGGGGCTGCATTCTATCATCCATGTCAGGAGGTGGTATTATAGGGTGAGCAATATTGAGGTTATGCATCAGTCGAGTGAGTGGTAGGTAAAGAGGGGAAATCATTCCACGGGTGGTTGTGAAGTTACACAGAATGAGATGGGTTGGACATGTGTCACCCATGTATGTCTAGCCACGAATCACCTTCCTCGACAATGGGCAGTGCTGACTGAGATTGGGTGAATCAGGTTGGAAAAGAACTAGCTAGTGGTGGTGATCACACTAAAACATGGCCTCATCGTCCAATGAAATCCTCAACAATTAGTTTGAGCTAGCGACGCCGATGGGTGTAAACTGCCTGGTTGGTGTACTTGGGATGGTAAGCACCAATGAAGGCTGGAGACAATTGGTGATATGGTTGAAAATCGTTGTCAGTAATAGCACAGGTGCATTCACTCTTTATGATTTCTGATATCGAAGATAACTTTATTGTTCATCCATATTGCTATTCTTTTTCCCTCACTCACACTTCTTTTGATTATCTCCCTTTATTCTCTTTGTTACGAAGGTGACTGAGTCTTAGAACGATGAGTGATGCTTGAATCTTGAAAAGACGAATGAACCAAGAATTTAGGCTTTATTCATTTTACAATGAAGCCGGAATGGCTTAAACATATAAAGGAAAAAAAGAGTGTTAATAGCGGTAGAGATATGAATATGACTAGATACGTATTATAAGAAAAGTTCACAACATTCACTGCGGCTTGAAAAGGAATGAGCCATTATGTCACGCTTCTCTGGTACGCAAATTGTAAGGCCGTACACGTTGTTGTTTTTCCAAAAGAATACGCCCGTTGTTCGTTTCAGTTGTATTTTCTTCACGAAGAATATTAGGATCAGTGGTCGCATCCCCATTTACTTGTTGCTCAGGAATTGCGTCGCCCTCCGGTATTGAATTTTCAACTTGATCTATATCTTCGCCTTTGGGTGCCAGATGATGAAGAGCAACTGTATCTTCACGTCCATTACCGAAGCGAACGTGAGCGAATTGCGGGTTACAATTCAATAGCTCCACCTCTTCAACCAGGGGATCGAATTTGGACTGACGAACACTCCGCCGGAGAAGTACTGGTCCTGGTACAGTGAGCCAAGTAGGAAGAGTTGTCCCAGATGTCGATCTTCGGTTATAGGTAAACAGTCGTTCGTGTGGCGTGGCGTTCGTTGCAGTACAGAGCAAAGATCTGATGGAATGCAAGGCGTCGAGTAGAACAGACTCCCATTGTGCCGTTGGTAGGCCCCGTGATCTTAATGCTAGAGTGATGGCACGCCAAAGTGTTCCATTGAGGCGCTCGACCTGCCCATTGGCTTGAGGATTGTATGAGGTAGTACGACTGGTTGCTACGCCTTTCTCCAGAAGAAATGCCCGTAATTCGGTAGACATGAAAGCAGCGCCTCTGTCGGTATGTATGTAAGAAGGCATACCGAAAATCGAAAACAGTTGGCAAAGGCAATTCATTACCGTTTGAGACGACATGTCGGGGCAGGCGAATGCAAAGGGGAATCGAGAATATTCATCGATCAGCGTGAGCAGATAGTGATTGCGGCTAGCTGACGGTAGAGGTCCTTTAAAGTCGATGCTTAACCTTTCAAAAGGTTGGGTTGCTTTTATGAGTTTGAAATTAGAGGGATTGTAAAATTGAGGCTTTAACTCACAGCATGTCACGCATTTACTGGTTACATTGCGCACCTCGTCAAGGGAGAATGGAAGGTTTCTCGAGCGTACAAAATGCATCATTCGGACAACTCCAGGATGGCACATAGAGTCATGGAGAAATTTCAAGTCGCACACTGACTGCAAGGAACCGCAGAAACTACGGGAAAATGTATCAGCAGCTTGATTATCCCTTCCAGGACGATAAATGATGTCATATTGATAAGGGGATAGCTCAATTCTCCAACGCATTATTTTATCGTTCTTGATTTTGCCTTTATGAATCTTGTCAAACATGAATGCTACTGAACGTTGATCAGTGACAAGTTTGAAGTGATTTCCGAGAAGGTAATGCTTCCACTTACGAATTGCTTCAACCACGGCATAGGCTTCTTTCTCAACCGATGAATGATGTTTCTCACTTCGAGAGAGGCTTCGAGAAAAGAAGGCGACAGGTTTACCATTCTGGTTTAATGTAGCTGCAATTGAGACATCTGAAGCATCTGTTTCAACAACAAGGGGTGCTTTCGGATCAACTACCACAACGACTGCACGTTCTAAGTCGTCTTTCAGTTTGTCAAAAGCATTTCGAGTTTCGATATCAAGAGGGAAAATCCGATTATTTACCAATGGGTGGATTTTATCTGAGAAGCGAGGGATCCACTGTGAATAATAAGCAAATAATCCAACGGCCCGTTGTTGAGATTTGATATCTGTGGGTGGTTCTAGATCACGAAGAGGTTTTAGCCGATCGGGATCTGGTTTAATAACCCCTTTGAAACTTCATAACCGAGTAATTGTATGCTTCTGCTTGAGATCACACTTTTGGAATCATTAAGGGTTATTCCATAATTGCGTGCTGCTACCATAAACTTGTTTAGATTTTTGTCGTGTTCCTCCTGAGTTTTGCCGCAGATAGTGACATTGTCAATGTAGGCAAACGTGCTTGTGAGTTGTTCTTTACTGATCAATTCATCGATAATGCGTTGAAAACAAGCTACGCCATTGGTAACACCAAAAGGAATTCGGCAAAATTGGTAAAGTTTCCCACAAGCCTCGAAAGCAGTATATGGTTTATCTTCGTTCCTTAGGGCAATTTGATGATAAGCATTCTTCAGATCAAGAGTGCTGAATATGTCATATTGTGCGATTTTTTCTATCATTTCGTCAATCCTAGGTAATGGGTAAGCATCCAGAAAAGTGAATCGATTGATTGTCTGACTATAATCAACTACCATCCTCTTTTTATGGCGTTCGTTTGACGTAACAAGAACTTGAGCTCGCCAAGGAGAATTAGAAGGTTCAATAACACCTTCTTGCAGTAACCGGTTGACTTCGGTGGAAATAAAACTTTCATCTTCACGAGAATAACGCCGGGATTTTATCGCGATCGGTTTACAGTCTTTTGAAAGATTTTCAAACAGAGTAGGCAGGTCGACGCGAACACAAGGTAGACCACAGAGAGAAAAAGGCGGCTTTGATCCCCCAAAAGGAATCTCAATGTGTTTGTGAAGTTTTAAAAAATCATGTCCAAGAAGGACGTCTGCACATAAATTATGAAGAATGGAAAATTTGAATAGATCATAAGTGTGGTTTTTATAGCAGATGGATAGAAAACAATGTCCTTCAGTATGACTAGTAAGATTCGTACTCGCCATTGTGATTCTGTTTCGAGACTTATGGACTTTCCAGTTATACTTACGAACAACTGAGGAAGAGATGTAGCTCTCACTGCTTCCGGTATCCACTAGAGCTTGCATTGATTTCCCATTGACAGTAAGCTGCGTAACAGCATCAGTGAGACTTTGAGGTGCTGAAGCCACAACGAGAGATGAAATTATAGAGTTAACTGAAGATGGACCTTTTTTCGTAGATGGCGCAGACCTGCAAACCTTCTGAAAATGTCCTTGCTTGCCACAAGCTTTGCAAACTGCATCACGGGCGGGGCATTTGGAACGAGGATGTCTACGATTACCACAGAAAAAGCATTTGGATTCAACGGCAGCAATGGTTGTTTCATTGACGGAGGGTGTGGAATCTGATGAATGAGGTACATCATGTAAAGAAATGGACGCGCAAGGTGTAACAGGATTGTTGTATGACTGCGATTGTTGATGTGCCATCTCTAGAGCTCGTGCTTGATCGTATGCCGCTTGAAAAGTTAAAGTACGCTGTTCTAATAGCCTCTGGCGTATCATCGAAGACTGTATACCTGAGATGAATGAATCACGTAGAGATTCGTTACGATGTTCTTCGGCTGTAACTGCCCTGAATGAACAATCTGTAGTCAGCGACTTGAGTCGACGAACAAACTGATCCAGATTTTCGCCAGATTCTTGTTTACACGTTGCTAACAAGTGTCGAGCAAACACTTCGTTGCAAGGCTGCATGTAGAGACTCTTGAGAGTGTCGATAGCTTCTTCGTATGTTTTGCATTCAGAAATGCATTCGTATACAGAAGTAGAAATATGATTGAAGAGAATATGTAGTTTCGAAGGATTTTCGGATCCCATTGATTCAATGAAGTAGGAAAAAGTCGCAAACCAGTGATCCCACTTCTTGGCAGCTCCAACTGCGTTAGGTTCTACGTCGAACCGATCAGGTCGGAAAAATCGTTCCATGAATATTGTAAAATGAATAAATTGTTACGAAGGTGATTGAGTCTTAGAACGATGAGTGATGCTTGAATCTTGAAAAGACGAATGAACCAAGAATTTAGGCTTTATTCATTTTACAATGAAGCCGGAATGGCTTAAACATATAAAGGAAAAAAGAGTGTTAATAGCGGTAGAGATATGAATATGACTAGATACGTATTATAAGAAAAGTTCACAACACTCTTCTGTTGCTTTTTGTGCTATAATTAGGGAGTGTGGTAACTCAGATTGCTGCACATCTGTGCAAAGTTCTATGTTGAAACCAGTCAGTCTGTTATCGCTTTGTAATGGCAAGACACAATGAGAGTAATTAGATTCAATAAGCCCATTGAAATTAAAGAATAAAATAATAGAAGATGAAGATGAAAACACATCGATAGTACAAAAGAATGATGTAAAATACATTGTACTGTTATTTAGTGATGATTTCAAACCTATGGTGTAAATGGGCTTTAGAGCCAGAAAGGATTGAATGCCATACAAGCCTGCCTCGGTCACTGGAAACCATGAGGACGTAGCTGCTACCGCTGGCCTTCGCCCCTGACTTCTGGACCAGACCTCATGTCCATGACACGGGCATGACCCTTTAAGACAACCACCTACTTCGGTCTGGGTGCCAGATTAGCATCCCAACCCTCGCACATCTGTTGATGCTCATAATGTACCAAGTTTGTCTTTTTAATAGTAAAATTAACCGTGGAGATATGGATCATGGGTTTAGTAAACTGACTCAACCATTGGGTACCGAGTTCGTGTCCCGCTCTACCTACTTCAACCTGGGTAGTACTAACAACCCTGACAATATTTGTGGCTCATAGCCTAGAGCATGAAAAGCCTGTGTCAGTCAGACAACTGGATTCTAAACACATGTTACTTAAAGTCGGATCAATAAATTGTCTGTATTCACAAAATGTCAACAACTACTAATTTCTATTACTTCAGATCTTTAGTAATGCTGCTTTTAAATGACATCAAGGCCTGAGAGGTTGCACATTACAACGATGAAAACGCAGTTTAAGCTATCTTCAGGATGACCTTATGAATGTGTCATGTTTTGCTCTGGTTATCCTTCTTTTTTTTCTAACTTGATCTTGTTTCTGTAAAAACCTGCTTAAATAGCCGGTGAGTAAGCATACATAACAAATGTTTTAGTTACCCGCAATAACTTATCTCACCGAGAACTATGTTTAGCATGCAAATCGCTAACGTGACGACCCTATCATGCTAGTAATTCTACGACGGTCAAATGCCTAGGACTTAAGTGGTCTTCTAATTTTAATGATTATACCGCAGGGGAAACAGCACACTGCTGCATAGTAAACAACTTCCTCTTAATCGATGGGCTAATTGCAGCCACCTTATAACCTCAGTCGTTGGGCGAAAGCCAAGAAATTGTTCCGCTGAGATTTAATCAACCAACAACCTTAATATGACTGATAAAAATTCTCAAATAAATGAAATATTTAATGCGCTCAACTATGTTAAACACAGACTAGTCCTGAAGATATGAGTTAACCTTTGTAAACGACGAACATCTCAAACATTTTCGCATTATCACTTAAAAAGTCAAGAGCACCGTGGATTATATTCAAACCTTTAACCAACTGGACTCTAAGTTGCTTCCTTAATCTAAGTAAATAAAATTATCTCTGAAAGTATTAGTCTGTCTGTTTTCGACATAGAACTTTGCACATATGTGCGGCAGTTCAAGTCGCCACATCCCATGAAGGTATCAGTCCCAGTGGAGCACTATGTAGAAGCTTTCGTATTTGATCATGGATACTACATTCCTAGGGTAGGTGACATTTTTAGCATTAACTCCATCCTTATTCTGAGCCACATATCCCTATTATTTCGAAAATAAAATATATATGATATGTCATAAAGTTAAATAGCATTGGAGAATGGAAACCCTTGACAGACACGACTCATGATTTTAAACGAAACCTTTTTACTAAGGCATTGCTATAATACCTTCGGATAAAGACATGAGAGCGAGCGACTGTATCCGTTCTTGCGCCACAATATTAGGAGTGGATATCCTGTGAACAAACTCTGTGTTAAGTGTGATCTGTTGTCTCCCAGCTGCAACTGGACAGTGCGTGGTTATACGTCCACGTGGTTTGAACACAAACTAGTTAAGCTGACTCCTCTGATTATCAAGAGAGAATCTTTCTCCTTTTTCCAAGAGAGAGAGATTCACACTAATTAGACGAATTCATGGCTGAATATTTTGCTTCGGCTAGAAATTACAATCAGTTTGACTAATGATCGTAAGCCAACCGTGTGCAGATGGTTCTTACCTACTAGTTGTTCCCGTTATGGAAGGTAGTCTCTAATCAATGCACATTAAGGAAAGATGACAAGTGACTTTCAAAAATTCAGGCCCACGTATATGGTTAAAAACGTTTGATCTTGTGAGATGGGGTATGAATATAAGAACGTTATCACTAGTGACTGAGAGCCTTAGAGAATTTTGAGTAAACATTTTTTCATATTTTCCAAACTTTTCTCAAGCACTGATAGAACGCCGGTTATTAAGTCTTCGGTTTCACAGCTACGTAAATCACCTCTAGCACTCCACGTTACTAAGGGATGATAGCTGATGATAACATCAGCTGCTGGGTCTTTGAAATGTATTGGCCAGATAACGACATGAATATTTTGGTTACCAGTCGAGTGAACATGGACTTTTAAGATAATTTGGGTTTAAGGGTGAATTTCATCAGTATATTTAAAAAGAAACATACCCCTTAGGAAATTTAGCTATTACTATATGGTTGCAATAATCAGTCTTTAGTGCTAAGTTACCAAGCCTCCCTCGAGAAAAGAAAAACTTTCGCGAAAAAATTTGCACTAGTCATACATAATATAACACAAGCTTGAGTCACTGAATAGGCAAAATGTCAAGAGATTATAAACCTGAAACTTACATATAACTCCATCTCGTGATACTCCATTACTCTCATATAACCATCTTCTGTAACAATTGCAAGGAAACGACCACATGGAGAGAATGCAAAGTGGTTAATAGAAACATTACTGTCATCAAACAATGAGTTGATCATCGATGATGAATCGTGGTTAGACGAGTTCGTCTGTATTTCACAAGTTTTATTTGAAACACATCCGTTAATAAAATCCGAATGTTTTGGCATAGACTTATAGTTATCAAGTTTTGATGCACTAGGACTTCCCAAAGTCCATCTGTATAATGGGTTCCTTGTTGACTTTGTCTTACAGGTATGCACTGAAAATCCAACACCCTGTTTGAACAGATTGTATGTGGGAGCTGACAACTGTGCTAATGTTTCGTCGTATAAATACATACATCCACTTGAATGACTCACTAAGAACTGATGAGGCGAGTGAGGAACCCAGCTAACACAAGTTACAGGTGTTTCGTCGACAGATTTCTAAGAAAACATTAAACATACGAATTCAACTTACTCCTTCGTTAAAAACCTTATTCGGGTCTTCTTTCAAAGGATCGATCAACTTGATTTCTCCATTGGCTAAGCCAATCAATAACTGTGAGTCTCTAACTTTATCTGTAGCACGTCTGAAACAGTGAGAAGTCAATGGCGCTCTAAATCTTATGTGTGCAGGTGAGCCACCACAAAATCTACGCTCAGCTGAGGAGTTTATATGCTCCTGTGAGTATATGCGTATTTCGTTCCCGATGTTGATGCAAAATATACTGCCTACAATGATTTAATAAGTGCCAAAGAAAGAAATAAACAAACCGTCGCAACTCGTGTCCGTTGAAACATGGGATATCTCGTTATTGCACGAGAAATCGAGGAAGGATAAACGAATGGCAGCATTACCGACACCGAAATGATTCATTTGTATTTGCTTCTCTAGCGTGCATGGTTCGGAATTGAAAGACTGGTACCGGCCTTCTAATGCATCGAATGAATATGACATAGGCGGGTATAACCGGAGGTGGAATCACTACGACATGATAAAACATGTAAGATAACCACGACAATCCCCCGAACACCTTAAAAATATTTCCAGCTTCCCGCCAGGAGATTCAATATGACCTAGGGAAAGTTTATCACTGGACAGGATAAAACAACCTCTGCCGAATCACTTGAATCTCAGTTGTCACTTCGAAGATAGATGACTGTGAGCTATGGTAGCCCAAAACAAAACTACCTAATGAACGAACTGATGACCTCAACGAATTTATTTACAGAAAACGGTTTAACCTGACTATGAGGACTCCCGTAAGAAATCGGGATGTTGTTTTTGGAACATCTACAAGAACATTACCGTATGTAGCCACTTTTTAACACTGCGTTACTCGCATATAGGCGTTTATTTCAGATTAAGCACTTCTACTTCATACGCATCTGATTGGTCGCTTTGAACTGCTATAGTTTAGAGTCACTCGAAGATATAATCTTTTGCTGTGGGGACACAAAACATACGACTTCCGATTATCACTATACTTGTAGAAGAAGCGAGAATCATATTTCATATCTACAAATTCTTTATGGTGATTTGAAATTATTCGAGATTTTTAACGTCACTTTGAAAACGCCCTAATCCCTACCCTACCGTTTACTCCAGGAAGACACAAAACTCTTTGAAAACTGCTGAATTTCATAAGGTTCCCTTCGGGCAAGTAGTAAAATCACATCTACAAACTTTCGACATATCAGTTTAGTTACTGTAGACGTGGGATGTGTTAATGGACTTAACCCTAGGTGACTTCAGCGATTCAGGGATTGACTTGCTACCGGGGAATAATCTCGTTGACTTGGAATATGCAGACGATATAGTCCTTCTAGGCGAAGACGCTGACGAAATGCAGAGTCTTCTAAACACCTTGAGCCGCAATCTACGAATGTTTGGCATGCGATTCGCTCCCGCCAAATGCAAGATGATGTTACAGGACTGGACTACATCGACGCCTAGTTTAAAAATAGGAAGTGAAGTGGTAGAGCACGTTGACCGCTTCACTTATTTGGGAAGTACCATCAGCCCCAACGGGCTGATCTCTGACGAAATCTCAGCACGAATACAAGGGGCTCGTTTCGCGTTTGTTAGTTTACGCCGACTCTGGCATAGACGAGATGTTCGACTATCGACCAAAGGGCGGGTGTACTGCTCATCAGTCCACTCCGTCCTCCTTTATGGTTGTGAGACCTGGCCACTGAGAGTGGAAGACATGAAAAGATTAGCTGTCTTTGATCATAGGTGCCTGCGTTCTATTTCCCGTGTAAAGTGGCATAATAAGGTGAGCGACATTGAGGTTAGGCGTAGAGTTCTAGGTAAACAGGGGAAATTAATCGACGAAGTCGTGAAGCTACAAAGACTGAGATGGTTAGGACATGTGTTACGTATGCCAAGCCATCGCCTCCCTCGACGAGCAATGTTAGCGGATATAGGGTTAGGCTGGAAAAAAGCTAGCGGCGGTCAAACAAAAACTTGGCATCAGTCAATGAAATCCACAACAGTTGGTCTAAGCCACGTAGGAAGGTGTAGACTTCCAGGCTGGGGTCCTCGGGACGGTAAAAATCTATGGTTGGAAACAATTGGTGACATGGCTCAAAATCGTTCTCAGTGGCGCAGATGCATCCACTCCCTGTGACTTATGATCTTCAATGAAATTGTTTTGTATTTCTTTATTACTCCTTTGTCTCACACCTCTGCTCACTGTTTCTATTATGCTTTTCTTGTACTTTCTTCTCTTGCTTCGCGTGCTACACGGAATGTGGCGACTTGAACTTCCGCACATTTGTGCAAAGTTCTATGTCGAAAACAGACAGACAGACGTGGGATAGAATGAAAGTTGTGTACTGTCTCTATTTTGTCCACTTCATACTTTTGTCATAACTTCGAAAGCTTGTGGCTGTCTTTTTGTGTAGTTTCCATCTGGATTCATCTTGGCTGAACGAACCCCAACTATTCACTTAACTTCTTTTACTTACCATTCAATCCCCAGGGGATAAAACTCGGAATATTTTGGAAAAAACGTACGTCACTGAAATTAAGTTCACAACTACTTCAGTGCCTTTTGCATCTGTGGTTTATATTGTAGCACATGATATATAGTTCGGTAACTGTTACCATTGAACAACCTAGCACTATTCCTTTCTATCTTTCTGAAGTTATTAAATCTTTGGGTTTATTACCGATTTTTAAAACATTCAGTCAACCGGGCTCCCCTGTTATGACGAGTCAAATATTGTGCAACGCAGTGTAGGAGGCTCAAAAATCTTTTCCATTCATTTCCACACAATTTACCTTCAAGGAAACTTCTGCGACGAATCGGCAGTTAAAATAATACAAGAGTGGTGGCTATATTTTCATAAGACTACACTTTGTTGCCGTTTGCCTCAATCTTGTACAGCCATATGAGTCTCTCAGCTCAACCTTTTTCATGCATTCAATAAACGGTGTCAAAGGTCTCCTGACAGTCGGGTTAACGCATACCAAAATACGTGGTCAAAGTTTTGTGCAAAGACTTGAAGCCAACTGAGAAGTAACTTTAAAGTCTCTTGTACTGTATACTTATTATATCCTAGATTGTGATTTCGGCTAAACTTTCTATTTATTGGGTATGATGTTTAATTTTTTCTTGAGTGAGATATTGTATGCCTGTGAAAATACTTTTACAAGTGAATGGATGGTTGTACAAATCTCAGACTGACCTCAGAAATCTTGGATTCGCAAACCCACTGTCAGCCGGCCCCTTTGAATTTTCTATCAACCAAATATTATGGAAAATCCCCTAAACATCGGCTGCATACTACGTTCAGTAAGCCAAATAAGCCCGTAGAACTCATTCATACATCTTAGCAGTAGGGAGCATATACTGATCTCTGCAGAAATCCTTCTTTGGTCTGATAACTACCCTAACCACTTACCCAGACTTTACTCCTATTCTGGCAACGAATTACTAAATACTCATATAGATTATAACTTTCACAATAACACTGCGCCGACTGGCTTCATCGAGCAGAATTTTCATTGGTATCAAGTGAAGAAAACACCTGGGTTCATGCATATATCCGTATGATATTGGATCAATCCCTTGCTGGTATGAAGAGTTTACAACTAGGACAGGCATATTTCCCAGAAGATGGCTGACACAGTGTCAATACCTAATGCGGATACTGATATCTTCAATTATCACACATGTCTTTCTCATTGTATACCCTATCCAGACGACATATGGCTCCTGACTACCGCCTCACAAACCTGCCTAAAGTCTTCCAATGATCCGAAGAAAGGGGTTGGTGAGTCTGAAAACATGTGTGCAGGGGACAGTCACGCTGTGTTTCATCAAGGTGTCGTCCGCACAGTGAAACAATGTGGCTAGTGTTCATCTATTATTCTCGTAAATACTAGGTTAGTTCTAAATAAACACTTGAAACTAATTTCATTAGCTTCCATATGCAGACCGTCAATTATTATGGTCACCAAAGCCTGCTACATAAGTTTGATCTCTGATCACAGCCTAAGAATCGATAACTACAACCTTTTTCGAGGAGACAGAAATACAGGTTTGGGAGTGGAACAACAGATTTTTAGTTTGTCACATGCCTCTTCTAACCCGTTGTTGATAAAATATTTGTTCAACAGAGATGAGAACGTTTTTGGGGTAGAACTGTTTTTAATTTCAGTTGGAAGACGGTTCCAAATACAACGGTATCTCACAGTGAAAGAATTTTATCTCTATTTCGTATGACAGCGAGGCACTTTAAAAGATGAAGATTTATTTCTGAGGTTATATTTCTTAGGTGAACTAAAAGTAAGGTCATTGTGGGGGAAATATGTAAGCCCTTTAGCAATCCTAAATGTAATTTTTAGGTTGAACTTCAGTCGTCTAACCCATAAGGGTTCCAATTCGAATATATTACGTCTGTCGTAGTAAGAAATGCAAAGATTTTCACCCACTAGACGTTTAGTAAACTCCCTTTGTAGAATTTCTAATTTGCATCTGTCTTTTAAGGAGACACCGTCCATGATAGGGGGCAAATTTCAAGTAAGGGCCTTATGCACAACTTGTACAGTATAATTTTGAATTCACTCGTCTTAAAGTCTCGGATTTAAAATCCAAAGAGCCTTTTGACCTTTGATACTTGTAATTTAACATATTCCCTCAGGCTAAATTCTGGAGTGTATTTCAGACCCAAATCTGTTGTAAGCGGCAGACGAGGAATATGTTTGTTGTGTGGGGAGATGGAAAGTTCAGATTAAATGCTTTCGGAGCATAGCGCACCACATTTTTCAACGTTAAACTTCATTTTCCACTTGTTACACCATAATTAGACGCTATCAGCATCACCCTGAATCCTACCAAGTACATATGACACTTCATTTCGGAGTCAATGATACACTATTTTGGTGTCATCAGCAAATGGGAAAGGTCTGCCATGTTTAATAACGTCGCAAATGTCATTGAAATATAACAGGAATAGCAGTGGACCTAGGACACTACCTCGTATAACTCCACTTGTTATGCAAACGGGTTGGATGTGTGAGAACCTAACCTGACCATTTGCATCCGGTTGCTTAGAAACGAGCTGAGCCAGCTTAACCATAAACCTTGGATTTCATAAGACCTGACTTTTGATATTAACAGTCGGTGGCTTACAGTGTCAAAGGCTTTACTAAGATCCAAGTATCCGATAACTGTGATCAGACTGGAATCTTTAAGTTGTGAGATGTGGTCGAAAAATTGTAAGTGGCATGTCTTGCAAGAAGGTGACTTCATGAAACCATGTTGATAAGGAGTGATAAGTTTCCCTTGAAAGAGGAAGTCAAAAATGGCACTTTTCATGATCTTTTTCAGAACCCTTGAAATAACATAAGTTAAGTTAATGGGTCTGTAACTCATGACACTTGAACGGGAGCCTGACTTATACCTAGGGGTAATGTACGTGGATTTCCATGCATCTGGATATGTT